GTTTTCACAGGTGGAGGAAGCGTCCTCGTCCTCGTCCAGTACCATGCGGTTTGCGGTGGTCGACGTGACGGCGCTGGCCAACCTGCGGCCGGACGGCCACCCTGGGCCGTACATGCTAGCTTCTTCACTTCGTTCATATCGTCCACGATCTGCGTGAGAAAACCGATCGATGTTGACTGTATATATACGAGCTGCAAGTTTGAGAAAACCGATTTGTCTTTTTGTCCTTGCATAGAAAAAAAAATATTTCTTGTGATATGTGATTTTATGATTGTCTGAGGTAAAAGAAGGTTAGAGGTAGAAGGAGAATGGAGGCTGTTGGATTTTAATTCTAGGGTGAAAAAAAATTCATGTATTAAAACCACATAAAACATATGGTTATTGGGTATACAGTCTCAATATTTATACCCTCTACCGTGTTCGTTCATCTGTCCGGTGGGTCCACCCCACCGCACCCGCGTCTTCAACTGCCTGCCGCTCAAGCTCTTCTTCTCCCCCTTGATTTGTTTTGTTCCCTTGCGTTTGGCTGCAGGCAGAGGTGGAGGCCGAGGCCAACGCCGCCTGCCCCCGCCAGCTGCCGCCGCCTCCTCCTCCTCCTCCTCCTTCGCATAACGACGCCGGCCATGCGAGTCAATAAATAAATTCCGATTCCGTTCCTTTTCTGGAGGACGGCTAGACGTACGGGGGCCTTCCCGGCGACGCCGCACCGCATCCTTGGCGATGGCCTTCCTGCTGCTGGGCCTGGGCTTCCTCCTCGGTATCCTCTCCCTGGCGATCGCGGAAGGTCTGGCGCTCCTCTGGGCCATCCGCAGCCTCACGCGCCGCTCATCGCCCTCACGCGCCACGCCGCCACCGCCACCACCACTCCCCGACCACCCGACGCCGCCGCGGTCTGTGTCTCGCCACAGCCTCAACCGACAGGTGAGACCGGGAAGGTCGGCCATTCATATTCTCGATCGGTTCGGTTCAATTCAATCAGTTTATGTTAAGCAAAGCAAGCAAGCGCGCACGCCTCAGCCTTCTTCAGCTTGTTCATTCAATTCTCATCAAGGTTTGTTATACGTATTTTTATTTGGCCTTTTATTTGCATTTGGAGGGCCTTGCTACTGACAAACTCATTCTAGTTTCCATCTTATTTCATCCATCCATTATTTGCAGTATATGTTCCACATGTTCACGACTTGTACCTTAATTAACATCTTTCCATTCTATCTATGAGTTAACAGGGCTTCTTGTGGATGCTGGAGCAACAAAAGACGCCCCGCGGCCCCAAAGAAAGCATCAATCGCCCATCGAATGGCGATAGCCCGGGGATCAGAGACAAGAAGCTCATCGTCGAGGTTTTCCCTGTAAAAATGTCTGCCACACTTGAAGGACACTCGCTCACCTTGTCTGGACCTGATGATGCCTCGCAGCTAACCATTGACCTGCTCAGCTGCACAGTTGTTGCTGTTTCTGCATCCAATCTGCCCTCACGTAAATGGTTAGTGCAAATTGTAGCTAGCCTCTTCCCATGCTTCCAACGCTCATCTTTTCTTTCGTGGAGAGGCCCCAATAATAAGCAATTATTCTTTTTGGTTGTCGTCAACTAAAAATTTGATGAAACTTACTCACTGTATGCATTATTATGCTTTTAGCAGTTATATAAATCCTTGACTTGCGACAGAATAGCCAGATGTGCTATACTACATGCGCAATCAGAGTAGATGTTCATATCAAGTGACTGTAGTTTCTCAGTTACTAATTACTGGTTTGAATTCTGCTGCCACTATATAATATGATCCATTCACATGTCACATACAGTTTGCCTAAAACCACCGCCAGTATGTATTTTCTTTCAGGGCCAAGAGGTATCCGATAAAACTGGAAAGCAAGGAATCTGATATTTGCAGGGGGAGCAAGGTATGCTATGTTTATGCAGACACCTCTTGGGAAAAGGAATCATGGTGTAAAGCACTTCGTCTTGCTTCTACTACGGACAAGGACAAACTCAAATTCCATGACATGCTGACTGGAGAGTTCCGCAGTTACATAGCCTCTTTGAAAGCTGGATACCCTTGCTTTCTGGGACCCTCAACACTCTCCAGTCAGGAACATGTGCTTGTGGACAACACTGTGAAGACTGATGGATCTTCAAAACTCCGAGGTTTTCTGAAACGGTTGGCAAAGAAGGCATCTGTGAAGGCTTCTCAGGAGAGCAAAACAGGTATGGTGCCATCTAAACAAGATATAAAACAACCCAGTACGCCTAGCTCCTCTATGAGTTTCAACAGCCAGCTACCAGATTCCCCCAATACAAAGATGGATGAAAGGCTTGCCGATAATGGTACGCTTTGTTGGAACCTCCTAATCTCTCGGTTGTTTTTTGATGCTAAAATGAATGATGAAATGAACAAGGCCATCAAAGCACGTATTCAGGTCAGATGATGCTGACATTTTCAAGTGAATTTATCCTTTGTCCATATCTTATATTGATTGGTTCCTGTTGGTCAGCGAACATTGTCAAACACCAGAACTCCAGCCTACATTGGTGAAATTACGCTTACTGACCTCAATCTTGGCAAGCTTCCACCATATCTGCACAGAATGAGAGTCCTCCCACCGGATTTGAACAAATCGTGGGCTTTTGAAGTTGACTTTGAGTATTCTAGTGGAATACTGCTGCATATCGAAACAAGACTTGAGGTTCAGGCGCCAGAGTTGGAAAAGGACATACTGAAGACCAATATTAAAGACGACTCTGATGGGGATGTGAGTTCAGATTTCCTTGATAGTATTGATCAATATGGTAACCAATTCAGGCATTCAGAAGCTTTGGATTCTGCAGCAGAGGTTAATGATGAAGCAGGTTTGCGACACTTCTTTCATGTGTTCTCTTCTTTTGCTTATTTGTTATTGGAATCATCATTTGCAATGTCTGTTAATGATCCAATAAATATTATGTGATGTGAGAACTCCATCAATTATATATCCTGAACATGTTGGTCCTCTAGAAAGCCAAAGCATCATAACTTGAGGGTATTAACGGCCTTTTGTGGTTATATATGGCAGATACCTTACGGAAGTCAAAGAGCACTGGATGGGCATCAAGGTGGAAAAGTATCATGAATTCAATAGCGGACCAGGTTTCACAAGTTAGTTCTTTCTTGTTTTGCCTTTTTTTCATATATACCTTGCTTATACACATTACCAGACGGACAATTGGTTGTGTGCTAAGGAGTAACCATATGACCAGTTTCCATATCTAGTGTTTTGCTTCTGTTTGAAATTTAGCCATGAAGTTCTGACCTGAACTGTGCTTTCTCACTTTCCTTGCAAAAAACAAAGGTGCCATTATCATTGGCGATTAAAATATCATCTGTTCGTGGAACAATGCGGATACATCTAAAACCTCCTCCGAGTGATCGAGTATGGTATGGGTTTACGTCCATGCCAGAGATAGAGTGGGAGTTGGAATCATCGGTTGGGGATAGGAAGATCAGCAGCAGCTACATTGCCTCACTTATCGGCAACAGGATCAAGGTGTTTTACTTGCCTTCCATGAGTCATGACTAAGTTGTTATTTTTGTGGTTAATTTGTGTGGTTGAATATGGAGCATTTGGCTGGTGTCCTACATTCATACAGGCTTCGGTTCGTCAGAGCTTGGTGATGCCCAACTGTGAAAGTTTTCCTATTTCCTGGATGATATCAGATACGGATGACTGGGTGCCCCGCAGAATTGCACCTTTTATATGGCTGAACCGTGAGCCCACTGAGACTAGCACAGGGCGTGCTGCAGACACAACTAGAGAGATGCCAGGGGAAGCTTTCGCATCCAAGGCCATTGCAAAGAACAAGTCAAGTCCGCTGCCTCCTTCAAGAAGAATCACCAATGGATCGTGGAATAAGACAAACATAGGTGTTGATGGGCCAGAGCAAGCAGAAGCATCAACAAGCTGGCAGACTTGGCTGGTTTCAGCAAGTGGAGCTCCTCTGCAGTCAAATGAGGATGCAACAAGGGAGCAGCTGAGGATGCCACTGCTGAGCAGCAGTGGAGATGAGAGAGCAGGCCTTGTGGAGGAGCAGACATCACCTTCTGCTGGTGAGGAGGGAGATGCGAAGAAGAGGAAACGCGGTGTTCGGCGTGCACGGGTGATGGATCTGGGGAGGAGGATGGGGGGCAAGCTGGAAGAGAAGGGCAAGCATTTCATCGGAAAGATGCGGGAGAATGCGAGGAACAACTGCCTGCTATTGCCGGACTTGGAGCAGGCCACCACCCCTCCTGCTCCTAGTTAGGCATTTAGGATGTTGAATTAACTGTTACTCTGTTACCCGATAAAATGAGAGTTCCTCAGTTACAGCGCCTGGCAACAGCACCTAATAATAAGTGTAATGATATGGGAGACTGTTTGCAGTTGCATGTAAAAAGAGCTCATGAATATACCACACAACTGAACAGCTCCTAATAACAAGTGTAGTGATATGGGAGACTGTTTGCAGTTGTATGTAAAAAGAGCTTATATGAATATACCACACAGCTGGAGCGAGATAGATGTAAAAAGAGCTTATTCTCGGTCCATTGGCTGAGAATACGAGTACAAGTAGAAATTGTGGTGGGTAGACTGGGAATAACACACATTAGGGTTGGAATTCCATCAGGACATTCATGCACTGATATATTTTTTTCTCAAAGAGAGCCAAAATGTAAGGAAAAAAATGTACTCTACTCAACACAGCATGGTGTGCTTTGTATTCATTACGCTTTGTTTGGTCAGGTCTACACAGAACAGGACTGCTACATCTCATGTTTTTAAAGTTGCTACATCCTTGAGTTGACAAGACCTTGGTAGGTAACTGCATTCCACGTCCTAAACTCAATTTAGTACATCCCCAGATGGTAGATACACTAAGCATCCCAAGGTACACTAAACATCCCAAAGGTACATTACATATTACGACTTCTGCTTGAGAGACGAACCATCATGTTTTCTACGAGCCACCAGTCACTTACACAGGTCGGTCAATCTTGAGATTCCTCCAAGGCTTCCTTCTCCCTCTGCTGCTCCACTGCCAGAGTAGATACGTGTAAATCGTTGAACCGGAAACGAACTAAAACAGATGAAGCATCTGCCAATTAAACATATTTGAACACTCACATGCAATCTCAGCCAACGCTTTCTGTGTGCGCCTTTCCAGTTTATCAATTCTCTTCTGCACATCACGTTTCAGATCCCAATTTGGATTCTTTGGTGCTATGTTTCCAAAAGGATTCTGCATGCACAATATAATGTTGAAGGATTAATTGACAGTTTGTCTCACCAGAAGTACAAGCAAGAGATCTTGAAGTTGGGAACACCAAAATTGTACCTCCAATTCCTTTGGCTCTGCAGTTTCAGCACTAATTGGGTCTTCAAACTTAGGAAGAGACACTGGAGCCAGCTTGCCACCTCGGAGTTGCTCATCATGGGGAAGGTAGTTTCTGAACTTCATGGCTGGAAGCTCACTGCATCAAAAAGAACGCACAGTTGGCACTTCTAATTAATTATTAACTCACACAGCATTAAGAAATAATTCAGACTACAAAACCACTAATGCCAAGCTGGAGACTCTTATTTTCACGTAGTAAAGCTTGTCAGCTTCATTGCCTTACCCATCATCTTCAACCTCCTCGGCCTCCTCAGTGGGGCTACCATCCTCTTTAGCAGCCTCGCTAGGTGCATCCTGAGGACCTGGTAACGCTGGCTCTTCTACCATCTCATGGTTGCCATTTCTAATACAATCAATAAAAATAAGAATCAGTAATGCATGCGGACATAGTCTATAGACATCATTTAGATTTTATGTCCATACTTTATCTACATTGGAGCTAGTAGAGTTTAAAAACAACAGCTAGTACTTATGTCAATCATTGCATGTCGTCAGTTTTAGTGAACGTTGAAAAAATAAGTAAATAAATTATTCTAGGGTATTGAACTTCTGTCTTAGTGATACATTCAGAATTTGGATAGCAGGAAGTATTTTCGATAAAGGATGTTCAGAACACAATTCTGGAATCAGGTGCCTTTATATCAGTTTACCCTTCAAAATAATATAGAGAAGGAATATTATGGGGTACTTCTGGACAGGGAGTGCACAGCACATTGTATCATTTGTTGTGGCAGAATCATTGATAAGGTCAAAGTCTAGCGAGCATAGCTGTAGTGTGACACCAAAAAAAAGAAAAGAAAGAAAAGCACACACACGCACACACTAGCCTGTATGGAGCACTTGAAGCATCTAATATGTCCAAATTACCAATGACTAGTGTGGGAGCCAAGCTGTTTTGAAATGCAAATTCCAGATGCTAACCAAAAGACTTTTTTCCTCTGGATCAATATGCTACACTATGATGACTGATGAGAATGGATTACTTAATTGAAGAATTGACAGAGCAGCATATGTGTTGGATGGTGAAGGAGCTGTTAAAGTAAAAGGCAAAAGTGTGCCCCTAAGGCTTGTGAAAGTGGATCTTGGTGTCCACACAGAACTCATCTCGCCTTTTAACTTGTCACCTTATGAGTTATGATGAAAAGCCTAAACCCATGACAACAAACAGAAAAAAAGAGCATGCCTTGATTCTAAGAATAAGGGACCTCAGGTTGCAATCCCATGGCATGTGAACATAATGTTCTAAGTGGATGCCAACCGTGAAATGCACTAGTAGTTGTCACTTGTCAGTTATCACCAGTCCAAAATAACAATAGTGTAGGCGTTAAACTTTTCAGAGAAAAATTAAGAGAAGGGTCCAAAGCAGCATAGAGATATCCTCGATAAGCAGTCATCAATCCATGTGGCACTAGCTAGGGTGTAGGAGCGGCAACAACCAACTAAGTTCAATGCCATATAGAGTGTAGAACTGCAACCTTGGAAAGGCATCCCAATATGACTGCCTGTTGGATTTAATGTGTGCCAGAGTGCGAGAGCCAGGCAAGCGCAAGACAGTTGCGGTCATTTTACCTACTAATTAACAACACAGTTGACCTGCCGCTGCAATTATTTGCGTGCGGAGTTATCTTGTGAGATAGGTGAGGGGAGGGGAGAGGAGAGATCATACTGCTGTTCTCCGTCGGTAGCGGGGGTGGGGGCGCCGTCGGGGGTGGAGAGGAGCTCCTTGGCGGCGCGGAGGGCGCGGAGACGCTCGCAGCGTGCGGCGGCGTCCTCCTCGGCGCCCATATCTTCCTCTTCCTAGCGTACAGGAAGGAGGCGAGGGGAGGCGCGGGGCAGTGGCTAGGCTAGGGTTTCGAGGGAAACTTCCGCCTCTCTCGCGGGCGTTTGAAGAGGACCAGAGGTAGAAGACGAAGGCTTTCGGTTGATGGGCCTTTGGGCTTGTTGGGCTCCGGAACGGGCTCTGTTTTCTTACCTTTGGTGGTGCTGGGTTTTGATTGGGGAAAAGGCTCCAATTTTGCTCCATGAACACAAAATCACATTTACCTCTTTAAAATACAGATTTTATAGAAATTGTATTGGAATTTCACATAAATCAGTTTATTTTTCACAAAAAATGCAGAAACAGAAAAAAAAAGCCCCACGTTCCAAAGAAGGCCTAAAACATTTGTCTCCTGTCTCTTCAATAATTTGGATGGTAATTTTGCTGATAAATCACACTAAATTAAAAGTTTAAGGAGATAAATTGGACTAAAAAAATTTAAGAGATAAATTGACTAGAAATATTATTAATTTAAAAACATCTAAAAGTTCATAAAATAAATTTCTAAAAAAACTATACAGATATTCAAATCAAATCAAAATCCAGAAAGCATACACGGAACGGAACTTGGATAGCGTGCGGTTTGTTGGAGGGAGCAAATCTTAGCCGCAAGCAAGCAAGCAAAAAAAATAATAATAAAGGGTGGCGATGCTCCGGCTGGCCGGCTCCTTCCATCGTCTGCCCCCTCCCGTGCTTCTCCCCCGCGCGCACCGCCCCATCTCCCCAGCCCTCGCCGCGTCCCCGCTCTCGCGCCGCCGCGCTCTCCTCCTCCTCCTTTCCTCCTTCGGCATCGGGCCCCTCTCCTGTTACCGCGGCCCTTCCTTCGCAGCGATGGCGGCGGCGGCGCCGCCGGTGGCCAAGAAGGTGCCGCGCCAGCTCGTCGAGCATGGCGACGTCCGCGTCGACAACTACTACTGGCTCCGCGACGACTCCCGATCCGACCCGGACGTCCTCGCGCACCTCCGCGCCGAGAACGACTACACCGCCGCCGTCATGTCCGGTCAGTCGGGGACTTCCAGCTTATACATGCCTTCCTTTTCCATCGTGTGCTTGGCTTGCCGCGCGTGTCAGGTCAACCAAAGGTGCCCTTAGCGTGCTATCAGGCATTAGCTAGGGATCCATTGTTTTGACATGACAATCACTTGCCACTTTGCCAGTCCTTCCAACTTATACCAGATTAATCTGTGCTGTTGTTATTATCACTTGGAATGTAGTTGTATATCGTCTGTTCAGACTTCAGAGTGGCTTTCTAGCTCTCTAGTCTGGAATGTAGTTGTATACACTACACGAGATGTTTCCTAGTAGAGTGGTACTACGGATCATTGTGCAGTTATTATTTCAGTCCTCTTCTGCTAACCCTGGTAACTCTCTTCTAGATGTCAAGCAACTTGAGGACGAAATATATGCTGAAATCAGAGGAAGAATCAAGGAAGACGATATTGATGCACCTCTTCGCAAAGGGCAGTACTACTACTATGAGAGGACATTGACTGGCAAGGAGTATGTGCAACACTGTAGGCGTCTTGTACCGACTGATGCTCCTGTTACAGTCCACGATGTGATGCCCACAGGACCTGATGCCCCTGATGAGCATATTATCCTGGATGAGAATATTAAGGCTGAGGGCCATGACTACTACAGCATCGGAGCTTTCAAGGTGTGATTTTGGCCCACCGACTCCTTCTGTTCCTCGTGCCTGTGCCTCTCAGATATCTCTTATATGTATCTAACATAATTTAAATTTGAATGCTTGCTTCAGGTCAGTCCCAACAACAAGCTAGTTGCTTACGCAGAAGACACTAAAGGTGATGAAATCTACACTGTCTATGTCATTGACGCGGAGAGTGGAGAATATGTTGGGCAACCACTTAAAGGAATTACTTCTGACATTGAGTGGTCTGGTGACGACCACCTCATTTACATTACAATGGATAGTATACTTCGCCCAGATAAAGTAGGTCGCTCGTTCCTCCGCTTCTTCTAACTCCTACATGGCATGCCTCTTGAGTTCAGTTGAAACTTCTGGTGACCTTTTTAAGATTGTTTAGTTATGATTGTTGTGCCTGTAGGTGCTATGTTATCGGATCTTTTTTTTTTAGTGTTTTTTATTATTACATTTATCTTACCTTTGTAATGGCTTTTGCAGGTATGGCTACATAAGTTAGGGTCTGCTCAATCAAGTGATGCTTGTCTGTACCATGAGAAAGATGACACATTTTCTCTAGGCCTTCAAGCTTCTGAAAGCAAGAGATATTTATTTGTTGAATCTGGAAGCAAAAATACAAGCTTTATATTCTACCTGGACATATCCAAACAAAACAAGGAACTTGCTGTTTTGACACCTTGTGTGTATGGCATTGATACAACAGCTAGCCATCGTGGAAATCATTTCTTTATTAAGAGGCGAAGTGATGAGTTCTACAATTCTGATTTGGTTGCTTGCCCACTGGATAATGTAGCTGAGACCACTATACTGCTACCACATAGAGAAAGGTACTTACATTATTGTCATACAAATTTCAGAAGACATTTTTGTGGTTGATATGTAATGTACACAGTATCACACTTTTTAGGGAACAGATTTAGACTAACTGATTTAATTTGTATGATGTTATCTTTGCTAACTTGCTCTTAATTAATGAGGAATAATCTGTAAAAGTTTGCATAACCATTTTATAGTGCAAGTCTCAGTTTTCTTCTTGGATATTAATTGTTTTTTTCTGAATGAATACTGGAACCCTACGGGATACTGTGCTGCTGCAGCATAGACCTTTCTTTTTGAAAGTTCTTTGACATTTGAGAAAAGCAGGAAAGGGATGCATTCTTGTATTAGCATTGCTTGTTACTGATTGATACTATTTGTGTTGCCAGCTAGAGCATGAAACTTTCAAACTTGTGGGTTCCAACTTCCAACCAGTTACTATTTGATTGTTTCACTGTATTTCCAAAATTTTATTGCATCAGTTGTAAGATTATGAAGGAATGGGAGCAAAGTAATTTGTATTTAGTTTGACTTTACCATACCAACCTTAGCTTTTGGAATATGGTTCATTCTATATCAATATTGGATCTTCGATAGGATGGTAATCAAAGGTTTTGATTACCACTGCTTCCTCGGTTTTGTTGAGTTAGGCTCTATGTAAAAGGCTTGATGCTCTGGCAGTGATATACCAGGGTTCAAGGAAACTGCAGCTAATAGAAATTTGCATGAAGCTACTAATTAAGTGATTCATCCTGCACTTTTACATGTTTACAAATTTTGTTATTTATGTTTTGCTCTTCTTAGCAATGGATGCATTGTTTGTTAAAAATGCATTGTCAGTTGACAACAAAAGTACATAACACATCACAATCGCATCAAACTGAAACTCCCTTCAGTGTGAAAATACAGGACTTCCAGCTCTTTGACAACCATATTGCTGTATATGAGCGTGAGAATGGCCTTCCCAAAGTAACTGTATATCGGCTACCTGCTATTGGAGAGTCAATTGGACAACTTCAGGGAGGTCGAGCGCTTGATTTTATTGATCCAACATATTCTGTGGACCCTGAGGAGTCTCAGTTTCATTCATCTGTTCTTCGATTTCATTATAGTTCAATGAGGACCCCGCCCTCTGTTTATGACTATGATATGGATTCAGGGGTGTCTGTTCTGAAGAAGATCCATACTGTAAGCTAGAGTTGCACTATTATTTATTTATTTTCCTGACAGTTATTGATTTATTTTTATTTATTTTTACAAACCCATGGCGATCTGATCTTCTCGATATTCTTTAGGTTTTAGGCGGATTTGATGCATCAAATTATGTAACAGAAAGAAAATGGGCTACTGCTGCTGATGGCACTCAGATCCCCATGTCCATTCTATACAGAAAAGATCTTGTGAAGCTTGATGGCTCAGACCCTATGCTACTATGGGGGTGTTTGGCATGGCTCTGGAGCTGAACTCCAGCAACTCCAGCCAATTTTCCAGCCAAACACCCCAACTCCAAAACTCCATGGAGCTGCCAACTCCATGGAGCTGTAGTGCAAATGGAGGTGGAGTTTTGGAGCACCTCTTTTGCAGCTCCGACTCCACCTAGAGCTGGCTCCATCTAGAGCTCCGACTCCATCTAGAACTGGCTCCACCTGGAGTTCTGGAGTGGAGCAGCTCCACCCAGAGTTGGAGCCATGCCAAACAGGGCCTATATGGCTATGGCTCCTACGAGGTACATTCTGTTTGTTTATTTTCCTTTTTAATATTTCGTATAAACTGTAACAAGGGAAGTCTTTCTGCAATATTTAATGCCTTGAACATATTTCAAGATTGGCATGTACGCTGTGCTCGCTGCAGTTCTAAACACATGCTTGTACTGTAGCAGTGGCTTGCGGCAGCTGCAGCCGCAGCAAGCACTGCTGAGCAGGCTGATAGTTTATGTCAACTTCCTTTGGTCATCTTGGGATCCAAATGATTCATTTGAAAGTTTAAGTGTTCTTTTTTATATGTGCAGCATGTACAGACTGTACTTGCTTTTTTGCTAATGTGCCATTATGCATTCATTTGCTATTATTCATCATTATTTTCAAGTGACAACAATTCTTTAGCATTCAATTACTTTAGTGTTTCCTTGCTGAATGATATACTTTAAATTTTGATACCAGAAAGATTCCTTGTCAGGACCCAGTAAGGTCTAGCTAGTAGCAACCAGTGGCGGACCCAGAATTTGGCCAAGACTAGGGCCAAATTTTAGCAGCCAAAAACCTAAAGCTACACCATAATCTATATGTCACATAGAAAAACAACTATTTTCAAAGAAAATTTGCAAATTGAGAGGAGTCTCAAAGAAAGTCTGTTGTTCAGCAGCCCCCTCTTGTTCAGGAACTCGATAGAAATACGATGCTGAAGTCCGGTCCTCTTCATCTTCTAAACTGTAATTTTAGAATGTAACTGGAATAGAAACTTTTCAAAATACAAACTGCAACAAAGGGTTGAAAATTTGAAATTGGGAAACCAGATGCAAACCAGGGCTCTGCTTCTGTCTTCCTGTTCGCCTGGTCCTGCTTGATTTGGCCAGCGCCCAGCGGGCAGCGGCGCAGCGCCCCCTGGCTGCCTGGCGAGTGACGGGCAGCTGAGCGGGGCGGACACCACTGGGGCGTTGGGCAGCGAGCAACCGGCAGCCACCACTGGGGCGCTGGGCAGCGGCCGGCCGGGCGGCCGGAGACCTGCCGAGGTCGGAGCCACGGAGTGCATAGCGGAGGGGACGAGCCGGCCAGGGGCGGAGCGCAGAGCAGATGGGGCGAGTGGTGACGGGCGACGCACCTGGCCGCAGACAACAGCACGGAGCAGCGTGACTCCAGACGCGACTCACGCCGTCAAGCATGCGAGGCGGCGAGACTCCGTCCAAACGCGAGCGAGCGCTGCCCTATTCCCTGGCTTGGCTTGGACTTCTTGGTTGGGCTGATGTCTGATGGGCCAAAAAATTGAAGAATTGCTCCCTTGTTACTTTGGCCACGACTAGGGCCACGGCCCTAGTGGCCCTAGTGCTGGGTCCGCCAATGGTAGCAACTGTATGTGGCAACTTGGCATCAAGACTATCAGATGGTTCTAGGTTTCAGCAATAATAAATATAACAGAAGTTATTGTAATAACTGTGCTCTTATTTTCTCTGTTCTTTTGGCTACAGATATGCATAGATCCGAGTTTCAGAGGGTCAAGATTCTCTCTGGTAGATAGGGGCTTTATATATGTGATAGCTCATATCCGCGGTGGTGGTGAAATGGGCCGGAAGTGGTATGAAGATGGGAAACTATTGAAGAAGAAAAACACTTTCACGGATTTCATTGATTGTGCTGAGTACTTGATAAAAAACAAGTATTGTTCCAAGGAAAAGCTTTGCATCAATGGCAGAAGTGCAGGTGGCTTATTGATGGGTGCTGTCCTAAATATGAGGCCTGACTTATTCAGGGCAGCTGTTGCTGGAGTGCCTTTTGTTGATGTTGTCACAACTATGCTTGATCCAACTATCCCATTGACAACGGCTGAATGGGAGGTATCCATTTCGTCAATTGTTTTATTTTTTATTTCCATGTTTCAGTGTCATATTGCAATTTTTATTATTAGCAAGAATAAGAAATAGAGATATGGGCCCTTTTTAGAAATGTTCTTTGCTGCCCTTTTGTCCGTTGCCTGTTTGCTATTGATGAAATATATGGATGCACCACCCCAGTAAATTAATACCAATTGTTGTTCACCCAAACACAAGGAATGCAACCTTTTGAATACCCTGTCCATATGGAAGTCAGGCTTGAGCTTCAGTTGGGTTGGGCCATATTAGTTCTGACTGGGATTAGACTTAGGCAAAAGATACGTACATTGTGCTTGAGCAGGTATCAGGGCTAGGATATGATGATTCCTTGCTATAATATCTATAAATATTCGTTTATAATTTAACACTTTATGTTTTTGAATTATCTATTTATTTCATTATGCTTTGTGTCTGGAAATCGGAATGGAATATTTACCACTTGCACGATAGGGATGTTTTGCAAGCTGTACCATGACAATTGCAAATCAACATGCTTTATATGAGCTGCGTGCTTGCCCCTTTTATTCTAGTTATCTACTTGTTGCCAGTTCTTTATCAATCCATGTGTTGTTGTCCTTGGTTCAGGAGTGGGGTGATCCAAGAAAAGAAGAATACTTTTATTACATGAAATCATATTCTCCTGTTGACAATGTAAGTGCTGATCTTTATGTCTCTGTTCAAATATGTACTAGGGTATGAAGCTAGGATGATGCTTATTTCTGGTGAATGAATATAATCAAATAGTGCTGGAGGAGTATATTAGTAACACTGCCTATTTTTTCCCCCGTTATTTATTGGTGATGACCTGTGAATGCATGAATATGTAGTGTTGTTCTGGAATGTGATAATTTGCACTGTTGAAAGAGGTAGCTAGGAATTGTTGATGATCTTTGGTATTTTTGGTTCCATTAATATTAATATAATAAAGAATTATACTATTATTATTACATGGAGTCATATTCTCCCACAAGCATGAACTTTAAATTGACCACAAATGTGCATTGCCCTGTGTTATCTGTTTGTCCATGCCACAGGTGACGGCGCAAGAGTATCCCAACATTCTTGTCACCGCTGGCTTAAACGGTAGGTGCCCCCTTGATACATTCCAAGTTGCTATTTAGCATTTTTTTTTAATTTGGTCTGTGATAGCTAGCTCGGTATCTGACTCATGTGGATGGTGATAACGACCCAGATCCGCGCGTGATGTACTCTGAGCCTGCGAAATATGTGGCGAAGCTGAGGGAGTTGAAAAGAGATGACAACCTTCTGCTGTTCAAATGCGAGCTGGGAGCTGGACACTTCTCCAAATCAGGAAGGTAAACTGACGGTGTAGGCGGTTCTTTGTTGGTTTTGCTATAGCTGGTGTACAATATAAACGTCGAAGCAAAGTAAGGAGGAGTAATTTGGCTGGGGTTATGATTGCAGGTTTGAGAAATTACAGGAGGACGCGTTTACTTATGCGTTCATCCTCAAGGCGCTGGGCATGACTCGGAAGCTGGCTTCACTGTGAATTTGATGGATGTGAGCCTGGAGGAATTCAACTGAATGACGATTGGACTGGATTTTTGTTAGGGTTGCCGCGTCGCATTCGCATCTTGTCACAGGACAGGTCGTGCTTTGTTGAGCGGCAGACTGGTCGTGGTGAGGTGCTGTGCTGTAACTGGGAGAACTCTCCCTCGATCCCTGTCTCGGCCTCTTGGTTGGGCCCGGACTGCTTGTGCCGAGCTTTAGGCCTAAGAAGGATAGGGATGGATTTCGATCGAATATGCATGCAATCGAATTCGGAAAGTACTATTTATCACATTTAGATTTGAATAGAGATATAGATATTATTAGGCGCGGATACAAAAGGAATGGTTTGAGATATCTGCTTGATTTCGGTGGTGTGTACTTGCTTTATCGATTGTTTTAGTAGAACGAAACCATTATGGATTTGAAACATGAGTAGTACATGACAGAAAGACAATTAATAGAGAGAGACAATTCAAAATCAAAAAGTGATCGGCAGCATCGTCATTTCGTCCTCTACTTGGTCAGCACAGCAGTCAGCAGTCAGAACATAGGTAGGCCCAGAAACCCATGGCCGACTGCTGTTTGCTGTTCCAGTGTTGCTGCTGCTGCCGCCGACGACACGACAGGCACTGCGTCTGCGCTGCAGTCCAGTGGCAGTGTAGTCCTCTCCACTCAACACCACCGTACGGTACAGGGGCTCCTTGTCCTTTCCGTCGCCGCACAGGCTACTTCCCCACTTCACGTGACGGACATGTATCTACAGCAGGACGCCCAGGGCAGGCCCACGAGTCATTCCACCAACCCTGATGTGACCGCCAATACCGTCGTTTCGTTAGGCCATGGCCATCCACAGTGCCTACAGCATGAAGCACCGTGAAGGGGCAGTAAGGGCATGTTTGATCAGATTTTATAATTCGATTTTTTTATTCAAATAATATATGATGTTTCTTCAATTGTGCTAGAATCTTCTGGAATCCTAAGATGTTTGGATGGGATTCTAGGATTTTGAGTTTTTTCTTATCCGAATTCTTAGAATCCTTATGGATCCAAACGGTGCCTAAATTAGGCTAGGCCCTGTAGCAAAATCACAAAGTTTTAAACTAAGTGAAGGAAGTGTGAAACGATTCCGATCCGATTCTCAGTGCTGATATCCTGTTTGGAACCGTTCCTCCCAATTCTCTCCGAAACCAAAACGTTTCTCTCAACCAAACGGGCCTAGGTTAAGCTTCTTTTATTTTATGTAAGTTTATTTAACTATGTTATTATCATTTAAATTTAGATCAATCATGAAAAGTGATATAATGACCTGTTTTGCCTGGCCAAAAGGAATCATACACCGTTAAGACTATCTCCAACAACCACGATCCAAAATATAAGACGCATTCGTCCTTTGGGTAGCGCTACAGACAAAGGGTTCAATATCTATTTTTGGTCTTCTCCAACAACAAGACCCAAAAGACAACCATTTCTACAAATGGGCTCCAGGAGATAGGATACTCAGATTTGGGTTATGCCTCTCCTAGCACCCAAAATGGGTCTTCCATATAGGTACTCTGTTGGAGGCTATAGGTATTATGTTGGAGACCCATTTTAGATTTGGGTTCCGCAATGGGTCTCATGTTGGAGACAGCCTTAGCCGTTTGGTTCCTACGCTTGAATTGCCTTGATTTCTGCGCCAGTCAGAAAAACATTGCTGCCCTGAGAGAGCCAAAATGACTCGTTTGTCTGGCAAGCGTCTCATGGCGTGCGCTACCTAGGCAAGGCGAGGTGAGCCGATCTGGCAAAGCTTCCAAGCACGCTTAACGTTAATTTGGTGTCATAAAAGTGTGTTTTTTATATGGTTCAAATAATAGAAATTTGATTCAATATAAAGTTAAAATAAACTATAATTTCAACGGATGGAGTGATAACCAACAAAATAAAAAGAAAAATCTAGCGTACAGGATCCATCAACCTTTTTATTGCGAAGGGGAGAGGGATTATATTAAAACTCGGTTTTTTGCGAAGAGGAGGATTATATTAAAACTCGACATAGTATATTCCCAAATTACACATAAAAAACTAAAATAAAAAATGCATAATATGCTATCCAGATTATTTGATCGTCTTTTTCTCCAGTGGCTTCCCTCGAATACCGGAGCTAAAGTACAGTCATTATGCTGAATCTAACGACCAACCCCTAAAACATTAGACATGCCCGTATGTATTCTTGTTCCTCGTTCTCCTCCTTCAACACTGCTGCCTCAACCCTTTAGGTTTTCTCACGAGTGATTCCTCTAGAGCACATCCGCGCATGTCTTTCGACCATGGCCCTCTCTCTTCACCGATCGTACAAGGATCCTACACCTAGCCCCGTTGTCCCTCATGCATCTTGTGTGAGGATTGTAATGGTAGCCTATTGTTTTTCTAGTTCTCGTGCGTAGCTCTTGGGGGTGGACGTCCTCCAATATCAAGTGTTTTTTCTTGTAGTTGCTGCATGCAGCAAAAGTTATTGTTCTCCTACTAGTTCTAGCCATGGTTCATTTTGATCGTTCACGTGCAGTGAGGCTCTTCATCCCCCGATCATCACTGGCAGCTCCTGATCGTGGCCCCATCTTCCAAATAGTCTCCACAAGGGCGTATTTATTGACGTGTATACCGTTGGATTCGAGATAATGTTGTCAAGAATTGGTGTGGGAGAGAGATGGGAGAGTAATTGTTTTGTTTATTCCTTGTGCTGCTCTCTTGGAAGTAGAGCTATCACATGGTATATGTTGTGGTTCTACAATGTCTATGTTCTGGTATTATGACTACACTTACTACCTTACTGTCCACTTTTGGGCAACCTTACAAATGAAATGCCATTTATATACCTACGTATATAATAATTTCAAAACGATAACATCTTATTCATTCAATTCCATTGTTGCATGCCATGGCACCATGTTATCATGGGAACCTTATAAATAGAGTTTCCAACGTGGATGACAAGTTTGGGCTTTCGGTCTATCCGAATCCAACCGATCGATTATTTGGTCGTTTTAGAAGTTCAATTATCTAAAAACAAAGATCGATTGGACAGTTTTAGGACTCAGGACAGGACCCAGTAGGTTCGGTTCATTCTCGGTCATGACCAAATTAATTGGACTAGACTAACAACCACAAAATAGTAGAATTTATAGAAAATTCTAACAAAAATCATTTTTATCTATTTGAAGGCAATGTCAGGACAACGTGTATAGATAAAACAAACTAATAAGAGCGATACAAACCCACTAGAATAATATTACATCACTAATCGACAGAATAACAGCCCAAAGTAGTATAGCTTACTATTGTTACTTGGGAATTTTACATATTTACCATTATTAAGATCGTCACTCATTCGTTTCTCATCCTTACGATGGCACTTACTGATTTAGCATCTTTAAAAATTGTGCGTCTTCGTTTTGCCATATTTGCTCGTGTGGCATGCCACGGCAACATGACATAGTCAGCAGTGCCCTGCAAAAAGACTTAGCTGCCCCTGCCCATTTGCTCGCCTGCTCAAAGACAGGAAAACTGGTCGGCCCAGGCGCTCGCTCGCCCATTCTGTTTCCCCCAGGCCTGGAACGGTAATGTTGTCTGTGTTTGAATGAATCATATGGCAATAAAAAAATAGAGGCACATTACATAGTATCACATATGACAACGAAATAAGATAGACACATCAACTATGGAAAAATTAAGATCACTACATAAAGTACTTGTTTCTGACAACCAAATAGGGTACATATAGAGTTTGTGGCCTTTGCCCATTACACACGACAGCATGCTGATAGTTATGCCCATTTGATTACAAAGAAGGCCATGCAAAATAAAAGTTCTGGCCAATTACACATATTATCAAGAGTTCAAGCTCTTAGCAAAATAAAAGCAATGTTCCGGTTCATCTTAAGTTCCCAGTTCATCCTTAGTTCTTCCTCACTTTCTTTGCCAACTTCTTCTTCCTAGGTGTCATTTTCTTGACAGGCTCAATTTGCAGTTCATCTTTTGAGAATAGGTTCCTGTTCAAAACAATAAAAGCCATGGTACAGCAAGGGACATGAACTCCTAGCTGTAGACTCAATAGCATACCTCCTAGCTTTTGTAGTTTCTAAGACATCAACTTCTAAAGCCAAGGCTTCCAGGACATCTTCCTGTGCATGAGTTGCAGATAACTCATTTCTTGTAGCCTCAATTTCTTCCCTAGCTGCTGCTTCTGCTGCTTGTCTTGCTGCCGCAACCTTGAGTTCAGCTTCTTCAACATCCCTCCTTGCTTTTGCTGCAGCTTTGAAAGCTCTAGTTTGGTTTTGGTGAATTGATGAAACCCTAAAGTGCTAACCTAGTTTATCAAGTGATCATGAAATAGGTAGCACACTCCAAGTGGTAAAGTAAATGAAGATCATAGCATGATGATGATGATGTCATGGTGATGATCAAGTGCTTCGACTTGGAAAGAAGAAAGAGAAAAACAAAAAGCTCAAGGCAAAGGTATATTTTGTAGGAGCTATTTTGTTTTGGTGATCAAGACACTTAGAGAGTGTGATCACATTTAGGTTTGATAGTCGTACTATTAAGAGGGGTGAAACTCGTATCGGAATGCGGTTATCAAAGTGCCACTAGATGCTCTAACTCATTGCATATGCATTTAGGATCTAGTGGAATGCTAACACTCTTGAAAATGTTTGTCAAAATATGCTAACACATGTGCACAAGGTGATACACTTGGTGGTTGGCACATTTGAGCAAGGGTGAAGAAGTTAGAGGTGAAAAGGAGTTAGTGTCGCTGGCTATATAGTGACCGAACATTGGACCTTTGGGGGACCGACGCGTCCGGCCATGTATGGCAGTGAAGACGCCAGCGTCGACGAATGACCGGACGCTGGGTCATGGACAGACCGGACGCTAAGGGTCTAGGTCTGGTCGTGTTGTCGGGCGGCACAGTAAGAAGTCATAGTGTGATCGGACGCTGGCGGGGTCCGGTCAAGCATGACCGGA